GACCACTGAGCTAGCATCCAACGGTGTTAATGTCTAACTTCAACTAATCCAGTAAATTGACGGACACATCCACTAATGTCCTCAGTGAGTTGCTATCTCACAACAGACTCGGTTGAACTCCCCTGGTCATTGCTTCTCACTAGAACTCCAGGAAATACCTCTTCAACACATAAATATTGGTTCAAAAGGGCACCGAATATATATGCACTACATAAATCACTTGGTTTGGGTGTGATCTTTGATACTGCCTGGATGCCTAGATCGAAGCAAGTGATTTTCTTAAGGGGCCACATTCTGAGTCTTCGACCCAAAAGGTCTAATATACAAGGTAGTGGAGCAACGTCAGGAAACGCAGTCCATGGTAGCTGGTGACCAATAATTGGTTCATACTCCATTTGTTTCCTTAGGATTCTGGGGCCCATGTGCACGATTGGTTTGGGATGAGGGTTTTCCAACTCCCCTAGGTGGACACCCATAGTCCACCAGCCCAGTTAACGCTCCGGACATTCGCTTTTTGTCCTCTCAATTTCATAAATAACACCTCTCTTACGAGAAAGCAGTCTATAATGACGAACTGTTTTTATATTATGTAATTTGCTTTGTTTTTTTTGTATATATTTTTTTCTCATTTTTATTTTATTTTATTTATTGAATTGTGATTACTGACGACTCACGTGTAAACACGAGGAAGCTCTAGAAAGCTCAGAAAGATCCAAAGATATTATATTCAATCATCTGTTGGAAGAATATTCCAAAATCCCTACGTGTAGCTTCCGTATTGAACAAATGATAGTAACCCCCTACGGATTGAAGGGCTATAATGATGATTTCGTTTTTACTAAAACCTATAAATAGCTCACAGTTTTGTATCATAATTGATACTGTTTGGAATAGCATCACTTCTCAATTGTCTTCTGTCTTCTCATTTGTTACTTAGGGGGTTTTAGCCTTCGAGTGCTCAAATTGTACGCAGTGTATCAAAAGTTTAAGCTCTAGATATAACATCTTTGTTGATTTGTTAGTTGTTAAAAATTTAAGGCATTTGGTTCTTTCATAGTTTTTTTCTATGAGTTTTAGATCACGTTTTAAGTTTAAAAGGGTTGATTTTATTGTTTAGTTAAATAAAAATATTTTCTAATGCGTTTGTGAATTATTAGTATTCCAAAGAGTATACTATATAAGTGTTATGGAGATTCATATGTATGGAGTTTCCTTGAATTTTGAAATTTTGAATGAAAGATATCATTGTGTATGACATTTCTTATGTTTTTACTTTATAACCATGATGAAATTTTAGATTTGATACTTATTTACTTGCGCCTGTTACTCCCAATAGAGAATAGGCCACCGATCAGCATTCTTCAACCCACTACGTCCTGGGATTTCCTTTCTAGTTCTATCTAACTGTTGTTCATTCTTCTCATGTCTGTCTCCATTTCCCTGCATAATGTGTTATTTGGTCTTCCTATCCTCTTTAGCCTTGAAGATTACATATGAAGGCTTGTCTTGTGATACATTTGGGTGCTTTCCTCAATGTGTGTCCTATCCACATCCAGCGATTCTTCCTCATTTCTTCCTCCACTCGAATCTCGTTTGTTCTCTCTCACTGTAATGGTTGTTGTTGATAGTGTCTGGCCAACGTATCCGAAGTATCTTGTATAGACAACTGTTAATATACTCTTGTATTTTCTGGGTGATGGCTTACGTAGTTCTGCAAGTTTCTGCCCCATATAGTAGAACTGTTTTCAAATTTGTACTGGAAATTCTGACTTTGCTGTTGGTTGACAGATAGTTGTTTTGAATTCCAGATGTCCTTCAATTGTAGATATGCTGCTGCTGCTTCGCCGATCTGCACATTCACATCTGTATCAGATCCACCATGTTCATCAATAATACTGCTCAGTTATGTAGAGGTTTTTCATTCTCCGTACCATCCTCGTCCATTGTGATTAGATTGGTGCATGCTGTGTTGTTTCAAAGAATCTTGCTTTTCACTTTGTGTATGTCGAGATCTACTACCGCTGAGGCTGCTACTACACTGGTCTTCTTCCCCTGCATTTGTTGTTGGGTGTGCGATAGAAGAGTCAGATCATCTGCAAGTTTCGATCGTCCAGTTGCATGCTATCATTTCACTATATCCCACGCCCCCCCATATATTTACATCTTCATGATTCATAAATTATAATCTCCCCATAAATATTAATTAAATTATTTATGTACTGATGTATCTCTGTTATGTATGTTGTCATAATAAAAGCATTACATTTATTTATTTATTTATTAAAAGTAAACTAAAAACATTCTTAATGATGAATTGTAACTGACTTAGCTAGTAATTGTTAACTTCCGGTGCTTGTCTCATCTATTCTAATGACTTTAATACTATATTTTTTTAAAATTTCGTTACAAATGTTCCATTAGGTGAAATATTTATGTAATTCAATGGAAATGAGTCTATTTCAATGTAAAGAATTCTCGAAAAAAAAGCAAATATATATTTTATTCATATCAGAAGGAGTTTTGTGGAGATTGTAGTCAATTCAACAGTTGAAATCATGAGTCAATTGAAGCTAGACCTCCATAGAAAACCTGAAAGTACTAGACAGCCGTTTTGTCCTGTTATGGAGTTCTTCAGTAGTGCGCATCCACGATATCGCTCCCCACGAGATTCGGACACAAGACCTAACAGTTTCTTGAGTATAACAGTATTTTTATTTATTAACCAAAGTTGAGAATGCATCTAAAGCATTTCCCATACGATCCTAATATTTTGAGTTCGATTCCTGGAGACGTTATGGTATAACATGGCTGAGGAGTCCTATAGCACAAAAAACAGTTTCTTTAAATTTCCATGTTTTCAATAATTGTTGTTGTGACTTTAAACGCGATTAATTATCACATGATTGATTCGTCTATCTAAATGTGACTTATACAATCTTAGTACTGTACTAAACTAATAACATTCAACCATTATGAGCAGCCTAGTATCTTTAGTCCATTAATAGATCATAGAAGTTACCTGTAGTTTATTCTGTACTAGAATATAACAGTGTACTAATTAAAATTAATCCATCATTCAAACAATACATTACGTATTGATGAAGCATTGTTATCATCTCTATATAGACAAAAATGAATGATAATCATTCAAACTGCTAAATTGCATTGGAAGCAGTGCCTGAAATGATACCTATTTTAATGATAAAATAACAGCTATGATATTATTTTCAAAGTTATAAAAAACACCATTAGATGTTAGTAAAGGTTCAATCAAAAAGAATATACAAAGGAAAAGCCGAAAGACTATAATCTGTGAACGAACCAATCAGATACAAGATAACAGATCTTGGATTTCGGCGTGAAATTCTTCATCCATTTGTTTAAATAGCGTCTTAACATTTTAGCTGAGGTCAGTTGGTGATGAAAACTTTAAATCTAATCCCTATCATTGATCATCAACTGAAAGTCACAATACTTATAATTCATACAGGTTTAAAATCCTTATTTAGCCATATTCAGTAGATGAACATTCTCAAAGTCACTTTAGCGTCGCTCAAAAGTCGTCCATAAATTATAGTTTCAACTTTTCATCATAAGAATCAAGACAATCAGTGGGTACATTCTGTTTAGATGTTATGACATTTTCTCAATAAACCGCGTATAAAATTTAAAGAGGACATACATTGAGGTTAAAGAATTTTTCTTTATGGACAACGCAAAAGTTGGCAGTTTAATGTATACTAACAATTGCTCATTTCGCTTCTCTATTTGCTTTAAATGGGGAATACCTAGGGATAACATGTTATATGTATATCAAAGTAACTGGAATATCATTCATTTGCATTTAATGTAGTAATACCGTTCCATTCAATGTCTAATCGTTATCTTTCGATTTATAGTTTATGTAATTTATCATTTGTCTATATGTCTCTTATGTACAGCTCTGGTTTAGCAGTACATAATGTATTATCCATTGGTTAGGATCATGTTTATGTAACATTTAAGCACCTTATTAATACGTATTTATTGTTATGATCAATGATCATTTATGAATGTTTCAATTATTTATGAAACCCTGTGTACTTATGAATTACTATAGGCAGCCAGTTATCACACTAGTTTATAACTCCTTAGTAATGTTTATTAATGATGATATTAGAAATTGAGTCTAGAACTTTCAGAGTCAGCTAATTTCATTCTGTGGAAAATTTAACTTTCAATTAAACAATCTCCTCAACAGTGTTCATCCACCATCCCGCTCGTTGGATTCGAACCCAGGACCTATCAGTCTCGCACGCGAACGTTTAAACTCTAGACCACTGAGTCGGCATCCAACAATGTTAATGTCTAACCTCAATCAATTCACGTAATTATGCAATCATCTTCTATTGTACTGTGATAGATACCTGTCTCAAATTGACACGGATTATCTCCACTAGTCATAGCTTCAATGGTGGTCTAACATCAATTGGTTCATGATCTAAATCGAAACCTTCATAAGTTCCAAAACCCTATACTGATAAACAATCTCCATAAATCCCTTGGTTCTTACATGAATAGGTGATATATATTTTTTCCACTAACAAAATTATTTCACTGGTTGAAATCATGAGTCAACACTGTTGGATGTCTGCTCAGTGGTCTAGTTGGTTAAGCGCCTGGTGCGAGACTGATAGGTCCTGGGTTCGAATCTCGCGGGGGGCGGGATCGTGAGTGCACACTGCTGAGGAGTCCCAAACTAGAACGAAACGGCCGCCTAGTGCTTCCAGGTTCTTCATGGTTGTCTAACTTCAATTGACTCATGATTTCAACCAGTGAAATTTCTAAAATCTCCACAAAACCCATTCTGATAACAAAATTATTGGCTTTATAGCTTTTAGCCAATCGAAAAATATTTCCTAAGATAACGAAATTTCATCCAATCAATTTGAAGTATGATTCTTGTTGTTGTTGCTGTTGTATATAGTTGCCTAACATACAAGACAATAATATAATAAGTACTCTAATGTTATGTAATCATCATTTAAACATTCCTTATGCAATTATCAATATTGAATTCTTTTATAGAATTAGTCAAAGGGGTTTTAATCATATAAACGATTGGAATTATTATTTGATTACATAATATTCAAACATTTAAATCAGTTATTATTATTATTATACAACATTTAATCGATACATATGATCATTTAGCAACAAAAACAACAACAAAAGAAGAGAATGCAATGGTACAATATTGTGCATAGCAACAGTTATGTAATATTTAACTAACTATAACAATGTTACTATGTATATTCTATATTTTCAATAGTCAGATAATAAATTAATACCAGGAAAACCTATTTCGTAAAACATAGTAAGTTGCTTTTTTCTTTTTCTTTTTTCTTTTCTTTCTTTCGGTTCTTCTTTTTTTTCTTTTTTCGAAATTCGTCTCCTTATTCTCTTTTTATAGTCCTTCTTTCTTTTTTTTTCTTTTGATTTACAATGTTATTTCATAAAAATGGGTCGATAGGAATGAAGCTTTTTCTTTTGTTGAAATCATTATTTCTTGTTGGAAATTATTGAATTCATTGTGTTTGTTTTAATTCACATTAGTTACTTAGTTACGTCTTTTAACTCCTGTAGAGGAGCATAGGTTAACCACCAACATTCTTCATTCAACTTTAGAAGAGTTATGGGTGGGATAATTAAAGCTAGAACCTATTGGATAATAATTGAGATATACTTTTATTAGATGATTGTCAATTTTACCTCCCCCCCAAACAAGTGATAATTTGTTTGGTATTTCTTCCTGTTGGTGGTTGACTTAAAGACCGACTAAATGATAATGGTGCTGATGGAATGTATATTCTGTTTAGTTTGTATATATTTGTTTAACGAATGAAATTGATAAAATGTAGATAATGGAAATCAGATCAGAATTTTACATAATATACGTGTGGTGTATGCTACTTATGTTGACAGATATAAGTAGTATGTAACACTAATAAATTTAATTAAAGACAATATGAATGTAAACAGAGATTAAGTGTAATAACAATGGGAATGAAGAAACGATGAAATTTGTAAGAGACAAATGATGTATTTAATGTATGGTTTTCATATTTAACGAAGACACTGTATTTTTTATTAAAGATAAATTGGTTTACCCCACCTGAGTGTTTATTCACTAGATACGTATATTTCAGACATGCTAATATTGAACAGTAGACAGGTAAATAAAAGGCGCAGTAACTTGATTAAGCATTATAGTTTGGTAATAACGTCTTTTCATGTACCTATAAAAATTGTTGCTCTGGTTGTTAGATGGGGCATCGGCCTTGTGACTTCCGAAGGAACTTGGCTTTCACCATGAGGAGTCATAACTCTTTAAATGAAAACCTTCTAACTTTCAGGGCAGAGTTTAAATGGTCTGAATTATTTTTTCTGGCTAGCGCTTTTAGCGATTTAGTTTTCTACGGAATGGAGTCGCTAGAACTATGCCCAACCTTCCTTTTTTATCCGGGCAGTAACTCTGGAAGAGCTACAGGCGGAGTTGGATGGAGTGTGCTGGTGGGCGGCCTATTCTCCTCCACGAGGAGTAATAGGCGTAAGTAAGTAAGTAAGTAAGTAAGTAAGTAAGTAATAATGTCTTTGAACTCGTTGACACAAGATGTAGGAATACTTGATATGGAATGAGTACAAACCACTAGCTATGTTATATATACATTGATCCTAGAGTCGGCTATAAGAATTAATGTCTAACTGCCTATAAATTTGAGAAGCTTTAGTCTTTAAATAAATGAATCTCAATAAAAGGTAAATAAAGAGAAAAGCACTATAACTAAGATTTATACAAATAAAGAAACTTGGTGAATGTCATAAATTTAGAAGAAATAATTCAATGGTTGACATTCAATGGTTAAGACCATTTGGAATGACTGTTCGTTATGAGACCGATACCAGTATATATTAGCTAGATTTATTATGAACTTTTACAATGCCATTTCACAACCTGATAAACTTATTCATAACTCTCAATCATAAGATAATCATTAATGATTAAATATTATGATAATCTCTTTGATAAGTCATTTATAGATATCTTTTCAATGTAAACCATTACAACCAACCTTGAAATCAATTAAGTCCCCTCTTACAATTTGAATACTCTGAATACAAAAAACATTTTTTAAGTCATGATATGAAAAAAAAGAAACAAATTTGGAAAATTTAGATATCATTACGTAATAGAACATGAGTTCAAATTGATAGGTCCTGTGTTCGAATATCGCAGGGCGGGATCGTGAATGCGCACTGATGAAGTGTCCTACAGTGGGACGAAACGGCCGTTTAGTGCTTTCAGGTTTATCATGGTGGTGGTCTAGTTTCAATTGACCCATGATCTCGACTATTGAACTAACTATGATATCCCACAAAAACCCCTTCTGATAACAAACTTTATTAGTTTGTTTCATAGAATAAGAAGAAATGTCAGGTTATATTGTAGTTAGTCGATAGAAAATGAATTCTAATATGAAATAATCATAAAATGTGTCTATTTAATTCTTATTGCTAGTTTAATTCCATTGATCAAGATGAAGAAACATTCTAGGTAAAATTAAAAGTATTATTTTAGTGAAAAGTCATAGAGAATTCCACAATATTACACAGTTTATACATATTATTATTATTATCATCATCATCAAAATATGACTTCGTGTAGATTGTAGTAATTTGAATAGTTGAATTCATCAGTTGATCTATGTAAGACAATCATTGGAAACATGAAAGCATTAGATAACCATTTTGTTCTAGTATGAGAATCTTCAACACTGTGTATCCATAATCCTGTATGTGAGGGTTCGAACTCAAAACGTTCAGTCATATGCGAGAACACTTGACCTCTGGATCATTAAACCGGTATCCAGTGATTTTAATGTTTACCTTTAATTAATCCATGATCTTTCACAACCTTTCATTATCAATAGGATTATCAATAATATTTTTTCTTAATTCATTAAATTAGTAGCACAATTCTCAATCACGAACACGTATATATATGATTGTCAAAACAATATGTAGCAGCAGCCTCTGTATCAGTAGACCTCAACATACACAAAGGAAAAACTAAGATCCTCAAATACAACATGAAGAAAACTAACGCTACGACACTCAATGGCGAAACTGTGGAAGAAGTAGAATCCTTCATGTACTTGGGAATTATCATCGATGAACAAAGAGAAACCAATGCGGGCATAAAGGCGAGGACATAATGAACGCATTGTTAATTCACTCAAACTAATGGTCACATCAAGAAGTCACGAGTATTTATAAATAGTTGTCTACACAAGATACTCAACATCCATTGGCGAAATACCATCAGCAACAATAGCCTACTGTGGGAGAGAACAAACCAGCTTCCATCTGAAGGGGAAACTAGGAAAAGATGATGGAAATGGATAAGACATACATTGAGGAAATCATCAAACTGCATCACGAGGCAAGCTCTAACTTGGAATCGTGAAGGGAAGTGGAAAAGAGGAAGTTCAAAGAACACATTAAGTCAGGAAATAGAAGCATATATAATGAAAAGGATGAATAACAACTGGAGAGAATTTTCCAGGACAGAGTTAGATGGAAACTGTTGGTAGGTAGCCTATTCTTCTTCACAAGTAGTAGTAACAGGCGTAAGTAAGTAAGTCAAAACAATATGATTTACGCCTTACTATAAGTTAATACGTATTCTATATCATTTTATTAGTTCATAATGAAAATCTCATTTACTTCTTTCCTATTTCTATTCTTCTTTTTTTCTCATTCATTCATTTAGAATGCATTTAGAATATTTTACAATCGAATGGATTCTATCAAATATAATCTGGTTTATTATTATTATTTTAAATCATTTACAATTCTATTATCATTATTTTATTCATATTCAATTCATTTCATTTATTATTGCTAATCATTTATTACATAATCATGATGATCCAACTATTAAATCAATTCATGATCCAATCATTCATTTTAATGATATCAATAATAATCCATTCATAATTCCTTATTATAATTTAACTTATACAATTACAGAAAATCAACCAATTAATTATTTTATTGGACAAATTAATATTGATTTATTAAAAACAATTAAAATCAATAAATCATCAAAATTATTTTCTATTTTATATAATTCATCAAATAAAATCAATATATTTTATAAATTACAAAAATCATCTGATTATATTACATTAAATGAAACAACAAGTGTCTTAGTAACAAAAAATTCATTGATTTAGAAACATTATGTCCATATTATTGCCATGGCAACAAATATTATGCTGAATTAATGATTAATGTAAATATATGGTGCTATAATAATAATCATAATAATCATATAATTAGTATTATTAATATTAAATTAATCATTATTGATATCGATGATAATTCACCAATATTTCCATTAAATTTAATTAGACCCTATAGAATTCAATTAAAAGAAGTGATTTATGGAATTGGAAAATCTATTGAATTACCTAAAGCAATTGATATAGATATTAATCCAATTTATTCAGAAATAGTATATCGTATTGATCCATTATTACCAAATGATCGATTATTGATTTTTAATACATTTCATTTAATGATTGATCATGATTCACGTTTATTACTTATATTAAAACATGATTTAGATTATGAATTAATAAAAGAATATAAATTTTATTTAATTTGTTCATCACCAAATATTCAAGGATTAAATTATACATTTAAGTCAACTATAGAAGATCGTTTAGAAATTATTATAGAAGTATTAAATATAAATGATATAGAACCAATGTTTTCACAAACAATCTATGAAATAGAAGTGATGGAAAATAGTAAAGTGAATACAGTTATATATCAAGTAAGTATAATAGATTTTATACATTGAATGTATTGATTTAATAGTAGTTGATTATCATAGAATTCAATTGAGTGTATTGTTAGATGTCTTCATTGGTTGATGAATTGAAATTAGACATGAATACCGTTAGATGCTGGATGGTTAAGTGCTCTTAGAGGTATAACGGCGTTTATCACTTCCTGGTTGCTCACACCATGGAATGATTCTTCCGGAAGTACCTGAAAAGGAAATTGGATTAAAGGTGGTCTTAGTGACCCGAGGGACAACTGCTTGAGGTCGATCACACACGACCTTTTTATGAGTAGTTTTTGTGTTAGCTCCGTACTTATTGAGACCTTACCACCGGAGACGGATATCCGTGGGATAAGGCGAGGTGTTGATTTTTAGGGTCGACCATTTCTAACCCCCCCCTGTAGGAAGGCAGCATCGCTGTCATGCTGGTTGTCTCAAGGAAAGAGCTGTCACACCTCTGTACAGTGAGTAGTACGACTTCGCCTTCGGACCTTGGGTTTGTTGCTTATAGTCTTGCAGTTCTTCAACCGACCTGTCTGACATAGTAGGACCTTGATGAACGGTTGTTCCAGCCAGTATAGCTCGACTGGTTTATCACAATAGGTAAGCCCAACCACCACGTCAAGGTAGCAACAACGGTCGTGATGCTGTATGGATCAGTGGTTTATAGGGCTAAATGTTATTGCACAAGAGACTGATAGGTTTTCAAGTATAGTCTTGTGATGCAGGATTGTGGATGCGAACTGGTGAAGGGTTTTGTATTAGGACGAAACAGCTGTTCATTGCTTCTAGGTTTTCCATGAAGAACTAGCTTTATAATTGATTCATGATTTCAACTATTGAAATTATTACAATCTCAACAAAACCCCCTTCTGATACTAATTAACATATACTCATTAGTGACTGACTTCAAGAGGTATTTCCTGGAGTTCTAGTGAGAAGCAGTGACCAGTGGAGTTCAGTCGAGTCTGGTGTGAGATTGTGACTCAATGAAGAAAATGGTAGACGATGGCACAATTTCGTGGATTGGTTCAGACTAGACATTAACACTATTGGATGACGGATCAGTGATCAAGAGATTAAGCGTTTGAGTGCAAGACCGATAGGTCCTGGGTTCGAATCCCGCGCAGTGGATTATGGATGCGTACTGCTATGGAGTCCCATACTAGGAGGAAACGGCCGTTCAGTGATTCCAGGTTTTTCATGATGATCTAGATTTAATTAATTCATGAATTCAACTAATAAGTTACTAACTCTCCATAAAACCCTTTTCTATTAGTTATTTATTTCTTTGAAAAATCGAGTAGAAAAACATTATTCTACCTTTCATTTATGATGTCTTATATCTACTAATTTGTCTATAAGTATCAATCAACTTCAAATTTATTTAATTGTTAAATTTGATGACATTCTATTCATGAAATTACAATGAAGTCCAAAATTCTAGTGGCTTAATAATGTATGCATTGTGATCCAGAGATTTCAGTTAATAGTCTGAGTTCAGCAAAAATTTAATTCTCAGATTTTTATATTTTATAATTGATATGACAAATTACTTAATTTTACTCACTCCTGTTACACCTCATGTAGAAGCATAGGCCATTCGCCAGCATTCTTCAGCGAACTCTGTCCTCGACAATCTTTTTCAGTTGTTTACAGTAGCCTTCAAATGCCCTCGTACGGACGACAGTGGGGAAAGTCAGCTCTTCCTTGCGAAATGCTCTCACATGACCACGTGCATACAACCACTGCCAGGGGAGTCCTAATCACTGCCTTCTCGCGGCATTACTGTTGTTTATGAAATTGAGAGGACGAAAAGCGAATGTCCAGAGCTTGAACCGGGTTGGTGGACTATGAGGGTCTATTTAGGGGAGTTGGAAAACCCTCATTTCAAACCAATGGTGCACATGGGCTCCAGAATTCTGAGAGAACAAATGGCATATGAAACGATTATTGATCACCGGCTGCCATGGGACTGCGTCTTCTAAAGTTGCTTCACTGCCTTGCGGATAAGACCCTTAGATCGAGAGCTTCGAGTGTCGTCCCCTAAAAAACCATCTGCTTCGGTTTTGACACCCGAGTAGTATTTCACCCTTCACACAAATCGAATCATTCATGTGGCGCATACCTATTTGGTGCCTCTCTGTGCCAATGTTTATGTGTTTAAATAAATAAAAATTTTCCAGTCGCTAGTCATTCTTTTCATATCTGCTTCGAATTCTCTAGTCAGAGTGTTGTTTAGTCGTCTTTTCCGTTTCCCTTCAGGATTCCATGTGTGTACTTGCTTCTTAATGAATTACACCGCATAATTTCTATTTACTGTTTCCTTTAAAGCTATAAATAATGTGTCTCAATATGACGGATCAACTTGCGTAATCGATTAAATTACTCATTTAACATCAAAAATTGACTAAGAGACTTCAGCAAAACCCCTGAAGATTCAAGTTTCTATCTTTAATAGATTCATAATTATACTTTATTGAATTATTATTCAAATAGGGGCATCGAAAATGTATTGACTATTTGCCAGAAAAAGAAATAAATTAGATAAACAATTAAGTTACAAAGACAAATTAAAGAATAATTTATATTAAAATTACTTATAATCTAAATAAACATAATTGAACCATATGATTTTCAGTTATAGGTACATTAGGTCCTAAATTCGTATCTCATGAGGTGGGATCGTGGATAAGCATTAATGAGGAGTTCCATACTAGGATGAAATGGCTGTTCAGTGCTTCCAGGTTTTTCATGATGATCTAGCTTCAATTAACTCATAATCTCAACTATTGAAATTACTATAGTAATATCCACAAAAACCTCTTCTGATATGTACCTTAGCTTCTACTTTAATATACAGTAGTATTTGTATAGATTTATAAAATATAATAAATCATTTACAACAATTTATGTGTTAATGATTCCAATAATGGTAATCTCAAAGGAATACATAATTAATCATAAGCCAAAGATGTGACAGTAGTGTCAGACATTATAGTAAATATATGTAGTAAATAAGTAATAGGAATAATAAATTCTTATATTCATAGTTTACGCTTATTATGTTTAGTTATGTGATTTAGTTCATTGTTATTATTATTGTTATAAGCAGATATAGATTGTGGCTAGCAGTGAAATCTAAGAAGAGTGTTTCATCCAACTAAGGGAACATAAGCTAGATGTACATATATTCCAGAATTGATATTTACTCTGGGACTCCAACCCAGTACCTGGATTTCATTGTCAGTCACTATCCATTTCTGCTTATAATACTTGTGATTCCAAGCAATATCATGACAATCCCTACAGGATACATATATATGCTAATAAGAGACTGATCAATTACAGTTTTAAATATCAATAAGAACATTCAAACAACTGATACAAAAAAATGGATTGGTATATTAACTTTGCAAACTACTTTAATTAGTTTCGTATATGGTTTCATATATGCATAAATATAATAATGTACACTAGAATAAAGCTTAAAATGTGGTTTGTAAAACAATGCTGTTCATATATATATATGAATGGTTGCGTATGATCATTGACCTGCTAAAGTCAAACATTAACACTGTTGGGTGCTGCTTTAGTGCTCAAACAATTAATTGTTGGCGCGTGAGATCTAAAGTCCTGGGTTCATGTTCTGTATGTAGGATCGTGAATGTGCATTTCTGAGGAGTCTCATACTGGGGACGAAAAGGTCGTTCAGTACTTCTAGGTTTTTGATGTTTGTCTAGCTTAGATCTACTCCTAAATTCAACTATACAATCACTACAAACTTATTTTAACATATTCAAATTGTTCAGCGACGATTGACAGAGAATAGCTGTAAATATTATCTTATTATGCTACTATTAACACATTTTCTTCTTAGCACGGTTATCATATCAGTTAATAAAGTGTTCAAAACTGTTAGGTAAGAAGATATAAGAACAGTTTATAAGCGGAAAATAAACCAAGCAAACTATTGACGACTAAACAATAATATTCAAATCGCTCGTCTGAATCAAAGACACATATGATTGAGCCCAACTTAGTTTAGTGAAATATCAGTCTGTTGATCATCTAGTTATCAGCACTCTGGTTCACAACTTTATAATTGAATGGCTGTAGATCTGTATTTTTTTAAAAATATCATTGCTTTTGAAGTGCAAAAGTATCAACGTTTCATAATTTAGGATGTTTCAAGATTATTTCTAAAGAGTGGTTTATCATAGTTAGGTATGCATACTTTGTACTAACATACATGTTGGTCATTATCTCTGATCTTGAGCTAAGTTGATTCTTTGGTTTCATTTATGAGAGTTAAAATCACAGGAAAAATACTCGGTAGACTATATTGCTCACATCGGTGGATGTAGTTTATCAGAGGCCTATGAGTATATATTCATGTAGCTATTTAAGTTGCATGTGTCTTAATGTACGTGTTATACTTTTGTGTATGCTAATCTACTGACGTTGACAGATATATAAGTAGTATGTATCGTCAATCGAAAGTGAAATGCCTGACGGCAGAAGATTAAAAAGATCGAAGAAAAGAGAACGAGAACAGGGAATGAGGAGTGTAGAAAGGAAAGAACAATGAAGTCTGTGATCATTGACTGGTATTTTACAAATGAGTTATTTACTATATGCTTCTCAGATTTTCCTAAGACGTTTTGTAATTTTGTATTCGCATACATTCGATTATTCCCACTTATATTCTCGTTCACTACAATACTTATATAAATATATGCTTATACGTGTGTTAATGGTACATATATCAAATAAAACGCGTATATGATAGTTAAGTCTAAGATTTACCAATGATAGTTCTGTTAGTCACAAGAAGGTTTGATATATGTATTATTATGTTCACTGATGTTCAATGGAAACAATAGAAACTACTAAATATTGGCATGTTACTTAGACTCATGATGCATAATTAGCTATTCATTGTTATAAAGTTATAACTGGTTTATAAGACAAAAAAAGGAGTCTTC